TTTAACAGTCCACTGCTGGACATTAGACCTCTCCATAGAAAGGAGGTTTTGGCCTACTATACCACGCTGGCCAGACGGGTTGGTATATGGTTTGTGTCAAGTTTTCCTTCTCTCTGTAGTGCTGTTCTTCTGCGTAGTTTTTTCCGTTAGTCGGCTCTTATGGTGTATATTTTGGTAGTTAAATAAAAAATAACTCACTTATTGTAAGTGTGTGGGCACGGTACTATTATAATACAGTACTCCAACTTCATACAAACGGACGAAACGGGAGCTATACCTACGCGCCTCGATCTCGGGGTGCGCTCGGGGCGCAGACAGTCACGGCTGTACCGCAGTGTCGAACGGACTGCGTGTTGTTTTTTTAACAATAACCGCGCGATTTTTTCTCTAAAAATCAGTTAATATGACGAGTAGGAAATATTGTGCTGTTTTTGGTTGTATGAATTCGTCAATAACGCATCCAGACATAAGTTTTTTTAAATTACCTGGAAACTCTGAAAAGTAAGACTATAAAATAATTTTACTTACTAGTACGTAGGTACATAATGTGTGTCTTTTTAATGGATAAGTATTTCCTTTTATCTCACGAAAAAAAAGGTGTTTGGATGAATAAATAAAGCAAATAGAGTAACGGAAAGTTATTGAGACGAGTGAAATAGGGAGTTACATGCGGTTCTGAATGATACGGTAGGTACCTACCTACTTACGCTTGTGTTAAAACTTCGGTGCATGTTTGTTTTGTTACTTTGCATAATTCAAAAAAAAGAAAATTCAAATTAAAGACGTGGTATTTTATTATTAATAATATTTGTTTATTATCTGTGTGTATGAATAATACTAAAAAAAATTTGTTACCGTCTGTGTGTCATTAGACAGTTTTCGAAATTTTCACAAAGTGTTTCTGCTGCTACTATAACAACATATACCACTAAAAACTGGTTTTATTTTCTCGGTATTAACAACAACAGCTAGACTCATATATAATATTTAGATGTTTGAGGGTTGTGATTTTAAAACATTCGTAGTCAGCTGTTTAGCTTTTTAATAATTAATTAATTGGTGACCAAAGAATTTTTGTTTTGAGTTGTTGCGAGTTGTAGGTAGGTACCTAATTTATAGAGACGTTAATAAGCTGAGATAAAAAGTTACTTACTCGTCAGCTGTTTCTTGCATTCTAGTTGAGTAGGTGGTAGGTGTTGGAGTTTCTAAGGATTGGAGTTTTGTAACGCGTATGGAGAAAGCACATTTATTTTATTTTATAGAAGGATTTTTTTCGGTCGCTAATTTATAAGCCCGATTTGTTTTTCAAACAAAAACATGTTTTTTAATTAAATCTACCAATCAAAAACAACACGCATTTTTATTGAACCATTCCTATTCAATATACAAAGTATTTCATTTATTTATATAAAAAGGATATTTACAATCACAAATCTAAATAGAAACAGAAAGTAGGCAAATATAATTAAAATGCTGGAGACGGGCAGCCCTAACGCATGTTTAAGTACCGCGCGGCTGTAGGCATTTATTTCTATCATGCGGCCGAGTTACAATACTGTATTATAATTGTACCGTGGTGTGGGTATGTGCTACATTCCTCTGCGCTGTGGCTGGTGACGGCCTATTAAAATAACAAACCACTAACCATTCATTTTCCTAATTCAATTTACTTTATTAATTTAACTGATATATTTACAATAAAAAAAAATATTATAGAATGGGTCACCCTTACCACCGTAAGGGTGACCCATTCTATAATATTTTACCTAGGGGTACAAAAAGTTGCTTGCAACCTATTCTAGACCTACCAAATATTCACAAAAAAATAATATACGAATCAGTCAAGCCGTTTCGGAGGAGTTCAGACAGACACTGAAACGAGATTTTTATACTGGGTGTAGGGGACATCGTAACGAATACTGAAATAGTGTATGCAGACCATGGTTCTTAGTCGAAAATCATTGGAATTTTCTGCCGGAAAATTCTTTCTTTTTTAATTTTCCATTTTTTTTTGTATAATTTTTTTTTGAAAATGAGTAAACAGAACATTTAACCGAAAAAAATACGGTAATAATACGGTCAAAAACGGCAATTTGATTAATCAAACAGCCGCCAACTCGTGTTAGTGTGCGTAGACTGTTTGCACGGAATACACTTGTAGTTATTACTTTTGTGCTGAAAAAACTAAAAAACTAAAAAACACGCTTTCTATAGAAAACCAAACTAAAAAATAGAAAAAATTTGAAAAAAAGCGTGTTTTTTAGTTTTTTAAAACTATTTTTTTTTTTAATTAGTGTATTGTCATCGGTCCTCGATATATCTACAAACTTTGAACGAATTCTGACCGTTTAAAGTCAGTCAAAATCACGCCCAAAGGAGTCGGTTACAAACAAACATACAAGTGAAGCTAATACAAAGCGTGTAAAAAGTTTAACTTTCCGTCAAAAAATTCCAATGATTTAGGACTCAGAATGATAGTCTGAATACACTATTTCAATATAATATAATATATTTATTCCTCTATGTCTATTCTTGTCAATCTATCCAAAACTATGAATGCAAAATAATCAATGTTTATAGAAATGGTCTTTATTTAATCATCTAATTTTTCCTATTTTCTTTATGTTAGATGGGGGCAAACAAGCAGACGGGTCACCTGATGGAAAATGCCCATCGCTGCCTATGAACGCTTACAACTCAGGAGTCACAAACGCGTTGCCGGCCTTTTAGGAAGGAGTACGCTCTTTTCTTGAAGGTTTGGAGGTCGTATCGGTCCGGAAAACCGCAGACATAACGACATAAATATTTATTTCAAATAATAATAATCTAGTGCAGGGCAGATATTCTTATCATTACATATAAAATGGATCCATTTATCTTATTATTGATACAATATAACCATGTTGGTAAATAGGTTAAGTTTTAATCACCGTTAATCTTTTAAATATCTTTCAAATGACCTTGCCCGTTTTCAAGTGTGAATAATTTGTGCATTGTTACCGAGAGAGAGTCATTCTAGTCAGGTATGGATCAGCTCGACAGAAGGCCAATTCTCGTAATAAAAGTTCGATCGCAATTCAGTTTCGATCAACTTTCGATCTCACAACTGCCATAAAAGGTATTTTCGAATACGGAGGAATACGGAGTGTCAACACCTCTATGGGCCGACTAAGAGAGCAAACTACGCAGGATGACAGTACTGCAAAGAGAAAGAAAACTTGAAACAAACACTATCTAAACCCGTATGGTCAGCGTGGTATAGTAGGTGGTAAAGCTTCCATTCTAAGGAGAGGCCTATGTCCAGCAGTGAAGCAGTGGACTATTAAAGGCTTTTGGTGATGATGATGACAAGGTGCGATGTACTATGTTATAATCATAAACGATAATGTAAGGCTCGCTTGTTTTTTCCATGGTTTCGTCAGAGAGGCCCTGGGAAGTGCGCATTTTTTTAACTTATTTTATTATTCAGTGACTGATTGTAGTGAGTGTCAGCAGCATTAAGAAATGTGTTCATGTTGAAATAGATATACGATAATTAGACCTGTTACTTTTTTATTTTAAATGTTGATATCTATACAAATAAATAAAATTGGAGTGTCTGTTTGTAATATTAAAATAACCGCTTTTTACTAAATGCACATGTATGTTTACACGGTACATATGCCAAAATAACATTTTTTTCAATTATTGTCTGTCTGTCTGTTATCCGGGTAATCTCTGGAACGGCTGGACCGGTTTTAACGGGACTTTTACTGACAGATAGCTGTTGACATAAGGAGTAACTTAGGCTACTTTTTTTAGCTTAGCCCCGCAGCGTTGCCCGCGGTTATAACAACAAACGCGGGTAACACCGCGGGTCTCAGCTAGTTTCAAATAAAGAAAGATTTTTTTAGGAATGGAACAAAATCACAATCACATGTTATAAATCATATGATTAATAAATCCTGTGACTAATTTACAAAACCACTGCGACTTATTATTTTTATTACACTAGCGCCTAGTGGTAACAATTACAGGTGAAATAGCAGTGACTAAAACCAATAATTACATCATATGATTGTAGCATTTCCATGTCTAGTGATGACAATACAAGACAAGAACGTTAGCATAGCGCTCAGAAAGTATAAGATACTGAACTGAACAAGAGTCAGTACTGCGTTGCCACTATAGGTAGGACAAAATCACAGTGAACTGCGAATGACCGGTGATTTATCCGGTGATATAACCGGTGATTTAGGGTTACCAACACAAAGTAACAAGCTTAACTTAACTGGACACAAACCCTATACCAACCCGTCTGGCCAGCGTGGTATAATAGGCCAAAACCTCCATTCTAAGGAGGTCTATGTCCAGCACTGGACTATTACAGGCTGTTGATATGATGTCATGATGAGCCTCTGATAGTAAGTGACTAACGTCGCCTGTTGACCCCTATCACTCAAAAGTTACAAGTGCATCGCCTTTGCGTGACTTGAGTTTGGTGCTCCGGTAATTCCGGTGCTATTATTGAATAGCGACTAAAGAATTGCTGAACACCGGGTTTCCGTGTAGCTGTGATATTACTGCGGTCGAGCTGGCCAATATGTGCTAAAGGGTGACTCTTCCACGGTAAGATAGAGCTAAATTGAGTAGCAAACTGTCAAATCAACAGTTGGATGAAAAAAGTGTTTATGCCGTCATAACTGAAGACTTGAATGGTCTTTTTGACTGTCGATCTGTCGTCTTCGTCTGTCGGTCTAGTGGTGGTTAGTCCTGACTGCTGAAGTGAAGGATCGTGAGTTCGATTTCCACCCAGGACAAATATGATGAACACGATCAGTCAGTCAATCCCGTTTCCAATCAGAGTCTTTCGATATCCCTTACTTATGCTCCCTATCCGTATTTCTTACACGTTATTTGCCACGATTCTGGTTCTACCGTCAGGGTCACGTGAAACGCAAACGTGAAGTCAAATATTAAATATAGTGATCCTATGATAAGCATTAAACCAATATACTTACTGCAAAGTCTTAGTCACTCTCAACAACCGGTTATCCGGATACACATTCTCCTCCCTCTCTTTGTTCTCCTCTTCAGGATCCGTTTGCAACGTCATCTGGAACTTCTGCGTCAAGTTGGGAATAACTTCTGTTGGTTCGTCATCGTCGAACGATGGCTGTTGTGCGTTCTCTTCCCCGAGAACGAACCGCTTCGATGTTCTTCGTTTCAACATTGTGCAAAAAATCCTCACAAATTCGAGCGAGTAAGGAAAGTTCATGTAATTTGATTGTCTTTCATAATATATTGTCTTAAGACTTATGAATTTCTATTAAAAAAATCTATAGTCTTGTTTTTTAGTAACAACGGTTTAAATATACTATTGTTTCGTTTCGTTGGAATATAAAACACACACTTACATATAATTTTTGTTTATTTACGTAAGAAAACCTTGATTTTCTAGTTGGAAGCATAATATAGAACTAATTATTTTTAATTAATGTGTACAACGTAAGACAACACATTTCAGTGTCAGAACATATTTCAGTGCCATCTAACGAAGACGCAACGAACTACGGAGTAACTACTAATCCTGTATCGCGCAATGAAAGTTGTCGCGTCGATTGGTGTACATAAATAACCGTTGGGCCACAGCCCGCTAGGCATAATCACCTCCCCTTTTTTTTTTTTTTTTTTTTTTTTTTCCGTGCGGAAATCCCCTCGGATACCACCTGTCGGTGGCATGTCGGACTCGAACCGACTAAAACCGCACGCCTTCGCCGGGTACTAATAGCCGGGGAACCAGGTATACCCTAGAAAGGAAGGCCCTGGTGCCCCGACATACCTCGGGTCATCTACAGACGAGTAGACGACCCCCGCCCCGTGTGGGAACCCCATGTTCCCTGTGCTCCCTGAAAGCGAGCGCGCTTCGCAACGCGCTCGCCGCCACCCCGGCCTGCTTCTGCTAGGGTGACAGATGGCCTCACCTGTCACCCCCAGGCCTGCGCTTATGGAGGACGGAGGTCGTTCTGCGACCTCCGGCGCCTGAGTCGCCTGCGCTGCCTGGCCCGTGCCCGGGCCTGGCGGGCCGGGAGAGTTCTAAACCTCTCCCGGTCCCGCTCCGCCGTCTCCTTCGCGAGCATAACTTGCTCGCAGAAGGAGACGGCAGAGTTCCACGCACTCTCGCTCCGCACGATAGCCGCAATCAGGCTATCGAGCGAGAGAACTCCCACTCCGATGGCCGCCACGAGGTCTCGCCTCTGCTCAACCCACGCCGGGCACTCTGCCAGCGTGTGGAGAGCCGTGTCCACGGTCTGGCCATCGCAGTGGTGGCACTCAGGCGTTGGCTCCTTGCGGATCAGACACAGGTGATCTCCGAAACATCCCTTCCCAGTGATCACCTGCGTCAATCGGTATGAGAGGGTCCCGTGACGCCTCTCGAGCCAATCCTCCATAACGGGTCTTACCGCCGCAATGACGGCGTGCCCGAAATAATCACCTCCCCTGGTTGAAGCATCAACCCTTTGTGTTCAAGAGATATAACACCTGTTCCTCTACATATACTTAAACTACATGGTTCTCAATGTAACTTAACTTTTTATTTTTATACAAAATGACCACAAGATCTAAGGAGAGGCCTTTGTCCAGGAGTGGACTGTTGAAGGCTGTTGATGATGATGACCACGAGGTAATGTGTCACTTCAATCTTCTGTACTTCTTTACTAATGTGTACGTGTTTTATTCAATGCTAAGTTAATATCTTCTTGTAAAGCTCTATATAAAGCGATTGCACAAAAACTCTTGTTTGAAGTCGAAATATAGCATCAGAAATAAATAATAAATATAGATATCGAATTTAAATGTTATTTGATGTAAGTTTTTTTAGTGTTAGTCCAGTCATCTTAGGGTTTTACCTCGAAATGTACGGAATAAGCTGAATACTTATACAACCCTTTTTTTATACTACAAAATATGTTGTCTCAAAAGCAACATATGGTCACGTGTCAGCGTCCTTAGATATTCAAGCTCAAAGGTCGCAAAAAAACAGTTTTTTGAGAATGTCTCGTTGCCTTTGCTTCCAATCGTATTTACATTTTTTTTCTATGACAACGCCCGCACTAGGAATAAATCCTGTGTCGCAGGGACTTTACAAACATATATGAAACGGACACAAAGTACACCCAGACTCAGAACAACAATTTGTGGATCACACAAAGTGTTATCCCATGTGGGGATCGGACCCACAACACTCAGCGTAATAGTAAGCGGCGTGGCGATCCGTGCAGACATTTAGATTAAAATTGTGGAAGGAGCAAAGGAAACGAGATATCCTTAAAGAAACTGATTTTTGCGACCTTTGATATTGAATATCCAAGGACGCTGACACGTGATATACACGTATATATACACACGGAATAAATTGGCTTCTTCAGTTAGATTCTGAGGTTGGAACCCTTTTTGACTAAGATGACTATGTGGGATTTAAATACGAGTACACACCGTATTATCGTAGTACCTACCTAATCTTAGTTAAATATGATTACTTGATTACAATTTCAATTTATTTATGGCGAACTATTTTTGTATAATCTGTATACGTAGTACTATAGTACGTGTACGTGATATTGTTGTAAACAAAGACTCGTAATATCGACATCTACGAGTATGAGTCTTTCTCGAAATTTTGTTTGTGTTTTTTTTTCTCCTAATTAATTAATTTTATTGCACTTTCAGTATATTGTAACTACTAAGCACTTTTCTTTTTTAGGCTCTATTGTATCATAAAATTATTATTTACTTAGTTGAAAATACGTATGATGTGGTCTTCTGTAATTGAAGGAGTACATATAACAAATACCCGTGTGAAATGTATTTTTGATATTTTGTGTACATCCTTTGTTGGAGATCCTTAAAAAAATGAAAAAAAAAACTCTTGTAATATGTATGTTAATTATTTATTATGGAGGAGCTAGGGCATAACGATTTTTTTTTTTTTTTTAGGGAGGTTACAATTACAGTACAAGTACATCAGTATTTTAATTGATGAAATACCAATAACAAGCTTCCACAGATATACAAGAAACATTCTACGTAAGTTACATTCTAATTAAATGATTAAATTATATATGAAACAAAAAAAACCGGTCAGGTACGAGTCGAACTCGAGCCACGAGGGTTCCGTACCTACCCAGATTTTACGTAGATTTTCGCTAAAATTTGTAAGTACCAAAATTTACCTTAATTTTCAACTTTTTTTTATTTTTTAGAATTATTCCTTTATTTGTGCTGAAAGAAGTTTCTTTTTGCCAAATTTCGTATTTCTAGGTCAAAGGGAACTACCATATAGGTTTTCGACCTAAAACCTATACAAACAGCATTGGACAGACGAACAAGAAAGTGATCTTATAAGGGTTCCTTTTTTACCTTTTGAGGTACGGAACCCTAAGAAGTAGGTATTCGTCAATAGATTGTTTACCTCTATATACATAATAATATAAACTTTTCATAGTTTTGTAGTTATACAGCAGTTTACAGAGCAATCGTAAGTATTATTAAAAAAAATACGTTAAGGAAAAAAGCAGCTATTCTTTAAACTGCTTTTAATAGATTTTAATTTATTCTAACTAAAACCACGCAATCACATGAAATCTAAAAAAAAACCTAAATCGAAATCAGGTCATCCGTTTTGGAGATATGATGCAACAGACAGACACGGATACAAGCGTTAAACTTATATAACCTTTGCCTTTTGTGTCGGGGCTTAAAATGTTTTTGCTGTTTTCTTTCCTTTCTTTTTTTATTGCATAGGGATAAGTGGTAAGATGGTAAGTAACTACGATCGCCTATGGACACATGCAACTTAGGAGACACGAGTGCGTATCCGCCCTTTGGGTTTCCTCGTAGGAGGAGGGGGGTTACATAAGGCTCTTCCACGGTAAAATTCTATTTACCCTTCTTCCTATATTTTGCATTTCTTTTTCATGTTTTGAGGTGGCGATATTATTATATTGTATAGATTAACTGTGCACACCGCGGCTTCTCTCGCATTTAAATATTTATATTTTGCACGGAACCCTATTTCTTTTATTAAAATTATATTTTTCTACTTGCTCCTTATAACATTAGCTACCTTTCAATCGAAAATCACCTGGTAATCAGCCTATCCATTTAGGAGATTAGCTAAACAGGCAGGAAAACATAAAAAATTAAAATTACACCGCTTAATCCGTAAATTCGTGTGGTGACGGATTAAGAATATGAAGTGTCACCACCCCTATACATCCCGTGGGTGTCGTAAGAGCCGACAGAAGGAGCAAACTATGCAGGACAACAACACTGCAAAAAGAGAAGGAAAACTTTAAACAAACCCTATACCAACCCGTCAGGCCAGCGTGGTATAGTAGGCCAAAAACTCCTTTCTGAGGAGAGGCCTATGTCCAGCAGGGCACTACTAAGGCTGTTATTGTGGTGATCTGACAGTAAGTATAGCGTAAATAGTCAGAGATTACGTAAAAATGTCTATTACGTCATTACAAACAGACACTTCAAAATCATTTGTGTAGACGTGATAATGAAGCCAATTTATAATAAAACATCACTGACAAGAAATGACTTATGTATGATGGAGTCAAGGGGTAGTTAGGCTCTTTTAGTTTTGATCTCCATCCCAAAAACGACGGAGAGCCATGCTTCGGCACAATTGGGCCAGACTGACCGCCGTGATACCAATCACGGACCAGCAAGCAGACGGGTTACCTGCAGTGCTATTCTCTAAGGAACTGCGTCGAACTTCAAACTAACTAAGTTCGTTTGAAGTTTGACGCTGTGGTAGCGCTGTACGCAAGGCTGTTTCCTTAGAGAGTAGCACTGCTGATGGTAATTAACCATCGCCGCCCATGGACACCTGCAACTCATGAGTCACAAGTGCATTCCCACTTTTTGATTCCTCCCCCTCCCCCCAGAAACAGGGGGGGGGGGTGCTTGGGCGCTGGTGATCTCACTCACTCGGTGAAAAGCAACAAAAGAATTGCTTAACACTAATGATGGAAATTATTGCTCCTTTGAAGTAATAATCATAATAATATGATTAAATGATTGATTTTAGTCACTGCGATTTCAGACCACAACCAATTTTTTTATATTTTTTAAATTAATGTGCAGGGAATGGTAGCTATTTATAAAAAATTACTAGATTTACTGTTAAATAGGCGAAATAGGGTCTTTGTGCATCGTCTG